GAGAGCAGGGCCTCTCCAGACGATCTTAATAATCTTGATGGTTCATAGGGGAGAATACATTCGGAGAGGTAAACAGGGCCAGAGTCGTTTAGGGCTTTATAGGTTAACACCAGCACTTTGAATTGTGCTCGGAAGCTAATTGGCAGCCAGTGGAGCTGGTGTAACAGCGGAGTGGTGTGCTCCCTGTACCCAGCACCCATTAGTAGTCTGGCTGCTGAGCGTTGGACTAGCTGCAGCTTCCGGGCAGTCTTCAGAGGCAACCCCACGTAGAGAGCGTTGCAGTAGTCTAAACGGGATGTAACCAAAGCGTGGACCACCGTGGCCAAGTCAGACTTCCCAAGGTACGGGCGCAGCTGGCACACAAGTTTTAATTGTGCAAAAGCTCCCCTGACCACCGCCGAAACCTGGGGCTCCAGGCTCAGCGATGAATCTAGGAGAACTCCCAAACTGCGAACCTGCGCCTTCAGGGGGAGTGTAACCCCGTCCAGCACAGGCTGTAACCCTATACCCTGTTTGGCCTTTCGACTGACCAGGAATACCTCTGTCTTGTCTGGATTTAGTTTCAATCTGTTGTCCCTCATCCAGTCCATCACAGCGGCCAAGCACCGGTTCAGGACTTGGACAGCCTCCTTAGTAGCAGGTGGAAAGGAGTGACAGAGTTGGACATCATCTGCGTACAGATGACACCGTACTCCGAAACTCCGGATGATCTCTCCCAACGGCTTCATGTATATGTTAAACAACATAGGGGACAGTACTGAACCCTGTGGGACTCCACAGTACAATGGCCGAGGAGTTGAGCAGGAGTCCCCTAGTGACACCTTCTGGGAGTGACCCTCGAGGAAGGACCGGAGCCACTGCAAAGCAGTACCCCCAAGACCCATTCCCGCGAGGCGTCCCAGGAGGATACCGTGGTCGACGGTATCGAAGGCCGAAGAGAGGTCCACACTCCCCCTGTCCAGTTCCCGGCGAAGATCATCCACTAAGGCGACCAAGGCTGTCTCAGTACCATGTCCCGGCCTAAAGCCAGACTGCGCCAGATCTAGATAGTCCGTGTCTACCAGGAACTCCTGGAGTTGTGAGGCCACCACACGTTCTAGGACTTTGCCTAAATAGGGGAGATTGGAAACTGGCCGAAAGTTGACGAATTGAGTGGGGTCCAGTGATGATTTTTTCAACAGCGTTTTTATAACAGCTTGTTTTAACCTGGCTGGAATATTGCCTTCCCAAAGGGAGGCATTAACCACCACCTTTACCTGCTCTGCCAAACCCCCTCTGGCTTATTTTACCAGCCAGGAAGGGCAGGGGTCTAGGATGTATGTGGTGGGTCTCACCTCCCCAAGAACCCTGATGACCTTGTCGAGTTGAACAGATCGAAATGAATCCAACAAAACTGGACAAGCAGATGCTTGTGTTACATTCTCAGAGACTGCCGTTAATGTGGTGTCAAAGCCCGAACGGTTAAAAGCGACTTTGTCCGCAAAGTACTGAGCAAAGGCTTCACAGCGAGCTGCCGAGTCATCAGGGGACCCATCCTGAGAGGTGGGATTCAACAACCCTCTGACTACTCGAAACAGCTCTGCCGGACGGTTCCTTGCGGATGCAATATTGGCCGAATAGAAAGCATTTTGAGCAGCCTCTATTGCCGCGCCATGTGCCCTTAGATAAAGGCATAGGCGTGTTCGATTTGGCTCGCTGGGCTCTTTCCGCCACACGCTCTCTAGCCACCTCTTTGTTCACTTCAACTCCACCAACTCCTCGTTAAACCAAGGAGATGGTTTAGCCCGGCGACTTAAGAGGGGGCACTCCGGAGCAATCGTGTCTATTGCCCTAGTCAGCTCACTATTCCAGTGAGTGACCAGGGCATCGACAGAATCACCATCCAAGACAACTGAAACATCCCCTGAGCCATCAGGAGTCCTTCTGGATCCATAAGCCTCCTGGGGCGGACCATCTTAATGGGTCCACCACCCCTGCGAAGGTTAGAAGTTGCAGAGAGTCTAAACCTGATCAGGTGGTGGTCAGTCCACCACCTGATCATAGGAGAGATTGACAACTCCTCCACACCACCACCTTCTTCTCAGCCCTGACAGAAAACCAAGTCAAGTGTATGTCCAGCACAGTGGGTAGGGCCAGATACTAGCTGGGACAGCCTCATAGTTGCCATGGCGGCCATGAAGTCCTGAGCCGCTCCTGAAAGAGTGGTCTCTGTATGGACATTGAAGTCCCCCAGCACTATGAGCCGGTGGGACTCCAATGCCAGGCCCGAGACCAACTCTGCAAGCTTCGGTAGGGCGGCCGTGGTGCAGCGGGGTGGTCGGTACACCAACAACAGCCCTATTCTGTCCCGGTCTCCTAACCTTAGGTGGACACATTCAAACAAGGTCGACTGTAAGGTCGGGCACCTGACCAAGGAGATGGAATCTTTATAGACTATTGCAACTCCGCCTCCCCGCCCCCCAGATCTCGGTTGGTGCTGCACGGCATAACCTGGTGGGCAAAGCTAGGTGAGATTAACCCCTCCAGCCTCATCCAACCAGGTCTCCATGATGCATGCCAGATGTGCCTTTTCATCAAGCATTAAATCCTGAATGGTTGATGTTTTAGCATTGACAGACCTGGCGTTCAACAGCACCACCTTCAATCCAGGAGGACCGTCCACCTTGGAACCCAAGTTTACCAAGTCAGGAGAACATTTGGAATTTTCCTCAGAGTTTGTTCACGAATTGGCCGAATTGGTTTCTTAACTCTCCCTTTCCCGTATCTCCCCCTCCCCATCATCACCTCTATGGGGGCCCCCCGAGGACTGGATCTCTCCCCCTCCCTACCACCCCCGTTCTTCACATCCTGACAATCTAGTATTGCACTGTTATATGGCATATCATTAACCCAGCCCGTTGTCAATACATCGATTTCATCGTTCTTATAACTCCCCTCCTCTGCTTCATAAAACCATCTCCAATTCTCCCCCGCCATTCGACCATTATTGGAGAAGATTATAAAGTGTGCTGTGTAAAGTGCAAATGCAAGCTTAAAAAGACAGTCCAAGAGCAACATTGAAATTGATACTCAACAGATATTCCTCCGTTAGTTAAAGTGTTAACCCGTCGTCTATCGCAATACCATGAAGAGGAGTTAAATTACAAAGGCCTTCATTTGCAGTGCAGTAGTATTGGCAAGGAATTGGCAATTAACAGTACTAAATCCACACACGATAAGGACAAAGGGGAAGTGGAGGTGCAATTTGTAAAAATAGAATGGTTTGGGAGGTACTAGCAGCTTGACCTTGAGTCCCAGGGAAAGCTAAACCATTCCTCTACTAATGGCCTTCAGTCAAACTGCAGCTATTGGTAATCTTTCAATAGATAGAATCATAGAATCAAAGAGTTGGAAGAGACCTCATGGGCCATCCAGTCCAACCCCCTGCCAAGAAGGAGGAATGTTGCATTCAAATCATCCCTGACAGATGGCCATCCAGCCTCTGCTTAAAAGCTTCTAAAAAAGGAGCCTCCACCACACTCCGGGGCAGAGAGTTCCACTGCTGAACAGCTCTCACAGTCAGGAAGTTCTTCCTCGTGTTCAGATGGAATCTCCTCTCTTGTAGTTTGAAGCCATTGTTCCGCGTCCTAGTCTCCAAGGAAGCAGAAAACAAGCTTGCTGCCTCCTCCCTGTGGCTTCCTCTCACATATTTATACATAGATGAATCAGAACCGCCCCAGCATACAATACAATATACCCTATTAAATCCACTACCAAATTAAAACTCAGAAATAATACTGAAATTAATCAAGTGAGTCAAATAGATCTAATTCCCTAGCCACTTAAATTTCTTATTGGATGGATGAGAGGACGACTGACCCTTGGCAAGCCGAGGATATATGATGTCAGCTGATGACTGACGGTTGGATACAGAATTTAACAGATATTAACAAGATATTAAGGAGCAGCTTCACAACTAAAGGAGCAGCTTCACAAATACGATGATAAGACGATCTAAAGTGCTCTAGGCTAAAGTTACACAGTGACACAGTGCTAGAACAATTCAAGGTTAATGTCTTCACAAGTTAAAGCCGCACCCAATCAAAGGTGCCAATTAGACACAAGGTGTCCGGCTTCCTGAATCCGTGGAGTACAAGCCGGCATCCACTGGCCAAACCCCCTGGATTCTTCTTGACCATCCAAGGAAAAGGTGCGGTAATGCTCACGAAGTGATGTTATAGCTCATGCAGTGAAGACAGTTGTTGATATTGCAGTCACCAATTGCCAGTGAGCTTTCACAGCTGTGGAGCTAGTGTTATTTACACAGTCTGTTTCCACCAGAGAGGGCAGTGTGGGACGGAGGATGGCTATTTATTAACCACACATACAACAAAATACATGTAACAACATACAACCTAATCCACATGTAACAGTTCTCAGCTTCTGGCCTGTTTCTGCTGCTGAGAGCAGGCAGCTCTTAAAGGGTCCAATGACCCACCCCCAACAGCAACTGCCCTCAAGTGGTAGTCACAGCAGGTGCAGGGAGCCTCGCCCAGTTTGTAAAGGCTTGCTCAGTAGCAGTCCTTGGTGGTTTTGTAGTCCAGAAGGCAGGCATAAGAAGGCTAAGGTAGAACTCTTACCTTCTGGCCTGTTTCTGAAGTAGATGCCTCAGTATAAGGAATTTTCATGTCTTTTTCAGGGTAGGTGGTGATTAGTACAATACAATATGTAAAGTCTTATGTTCAATTAACAGATTCTGCAATTAAAGGATTCAGTAGCATAATAGGAAAGGCATATCATTTGGACTTAGATCAATCAGATGTCAATCTTGTTTAAGGCAAATCCATATAGTCATATGTTACACCCTACTTGCAATTGCTTTAAAACCCTGTTTGCTATTTGATGTATTTTGTATTTGTCAAGAATTGATATAACTGTTACATGGGTTCAGCCTGGATTGCAATGAATATAATTGCAAAAGTAGCAATTTTATGAGTGAGAACCTCTCTTTTTCCTTGCAGTTTCGCCTGGTTGTAAAGACAGCACTGAAGCTACTCCTTGTTTTTGTGGAGTACACTGAATCCAATGCTCCATTTCTCATTCATGCAGTGTCCATAGTAGATGGAAAGAGGGGTAAGTAGCTGTTATGGCTATTATGAGTATCTAGCTTGAGTTGTTTGGAAATAAAAAAACTGAGCATTTGTCGTTTTATTTATTTATTTATTTATTTATTTACAGTATTTCTATACAGATTTTCTCACCCCTAGGGGGACTCAAAGCAGTCTACACATAACTGGCAAAACTTCAATGCCATACATTGGACACTGACGTGATGCCAATCCATAACAACCATAATAATAAAATGACAATTAAGCATAAATCATAATTATACAGTACATAAGCAATCATTAAAACAATAAATAATAAAACCAGTCTCGCCAATTGTATTGTCATTCTAGTCCATGTCCTTTATACTCTACAAACATCTACTGTCTGAAGGCCTGGTCCCAAAGCCATGATTTTAATTTCTTTCTAAAAGCCAGGAGGGAAGGAGCATATCTTACCTCATTTGGGAGTGTGTTCCATAGGTGAGGGGCCACCACCAAGAAGGCCCTGTCTCTCATCCCCGCCAGACACATTTGCGCAATTGACAGGAGCGAAAACAGGGCCTCCCCGGATGATCTTAGATTACGAGATGGGACGTAGGGGTGGATGCGTTCAGACAAGTAAGCTGGGCCCGAACTGTATAGAGCTTTATAGGTCAAAACCAGCACTTTGAATTGGGCTCGGAGATGGACTGGCAGCCAGTGGAGCTGGTACAACAGGGGGGTGGTATGCTCCCTGTGTGTCGCCCCAGTTAGCAATCTGGCTGCTGCCCGTTGGACTAGCTGAAGTTTCCGAACCGTCTTCAAAGGCAGCTCCACGTAGAGCGCGTTGCAGTAATCTATTTGTGACGTAACCAGAGTGTGGACAACCGTGGCCAGATCAGACTTCCCAAGGTACGGGCGCAGCTGGTGCATGACTTTTAACTGTGCAAAAGCTCCCCTGGCAACCGCCGAAACCTGGGGTTCCAGGCTCAGCGATTAATCCAGGATCACTCCCAAGCTGCAAACCTGCGTCTTCAGGGGGAATATAACCCCGTCCAACACAGGCTGTGATCCTATGCCCTGTTCGGCCTTTCGACTGACCAGGAGGCCCTCTGTCTTGTCTGGATTCAATTTCAATTTGCTAGCCCTCATCCAGTGTGACACGCAGCCAAGCATTGGTTCAAGCATTGGTTCAAGGTCTGAACAGCCTCCTTAGTAACAGGTGGGAAGGAGTGACAGATTTGGACATCATCCGCGTACAGATGACACCACACCCCGAAACTCCGGATGATCTCCCCCAGCGGCTTCATGTATATGTTAACAACATGGGAGACTATTGAGCCCTGAGGAACCCCACAAGACAAAGGTTGTGGGGTTGAACAGGTGTCTCCCAATAACACCTTCTGAGATCGACCCTCTAGGAATGACCGGAGCCACTGCAAAACAGTACCTCCAAGACCCATCCTCGCGAGGCATCCCAGAAGGATACCGTGGTCGACGGTATCGAAGGCTGTTGAGAAGTCCAGCAGCACCAACAGGGACACACTCCCCCTGTCGAGCTCCCGGCGCAGATCATCCACGAAGGCAACCAAGGCTGTCTCGGTACCATGTCCCGGCCTAAAGCCAGACTGTCCCGGGTCTAGATAATCCGTGTCTACCAAGAATACCTGGAGTTGTGAGGCCACCACACGTTCCAAGACTTTGCCCAAAAAGGGGAGATTGGAAACTGGCCGATAGTTGTCGAATTTAGTGGGGTCCAGTGATGGTTTTTTCAACAGCAGTTTTATTATAGCTTGTTTTAAGCTCGCTGGAATCTTGCCTTCCCGAAGGGAAGCATTAACCACCACCTTAACCCACTCAGCCAATCCCCCTCTGGCCTCCTTTAGAAGCCAGGATGGGCAGGGGTCCAGGATGCATGTGGTTGGCCTCATTCCTCCAAGTATCTTGTCCATATCCTCGGGCTTCACCAATTTAAATGAATCCATCAAAGCTGGACAAGCAGGTGCTCGTGTTACATCCTCAGAGACTGCCATTAACATGGTATCCAGACCAGAACGGATCAAAGTGACTTTGTCTTCAAAGAACTGAGCAAAAGCTTCACAGCGAGAAGTCAAATCGTCAGGGTTCCCACCTTGAGTGGTGGGATTTAAAAGGTCTTTGACAATTCGGAACAACTCGGCTGGACGGTTCTTTGCAGACGCAATAGTGGCCACAAAGAAGGCTTTCTTTGCGGCTTTTATTGCCGCGGCATATGCCCTTAAAAAGGACACAAACCGTGTTCGATTTGGCTTGCTCGGATCCGAACGCCACACACTCTCTAGTTCGCTCTTCCTTCGCTTCATTGCTGCCAGCTCCTCGGTGAACCAGGGAGCTGGTTTAGCTCGGCTACTTGAGAGGGGACGTTCCGGAGCTATCGTGTCAATTGCCCTAGTCATCTCCCCATTCCAGAGAGCGACCAGGGCCTCAACAGGATCACCTACCGAGGCGGCAGGAAACTCCCCAAGAGCCATCAGGAATCCATCCGGATCCATAAGCCTCCTGGGGCAGACCAATTTAATGGGTCCTCCACCTCTGCAGAGGTTAGGGGGCGCAGTGAGCCTAAATCTGACCAGGAAGTGGTCAGTCCATGGCAACGGAGAGATGGTCAACTCCTCGACACCGCCACCTTCCTCCCATCCCTGGCAGAAAACCAAGTCCAATGTATGTCCTGCACTGTGAGTGGGGCCAGATACTTGCTGGGACAGCCCCATGGTTGCCATGGCAGACATGAAGTCCTGAGCCCCTCCTGAACGGGCCGCCTCGGCATGGACATTGAAGTCCCCCAGCACGAGAAGCCGCTGGAACTCCAGTGCCAGGCTCGAGACCACCCCCGCTAGCTCAGGTAGGGAGACTTTAGTGCAGCGAGGTGGACGGTACACTAACAGAATCCCTATTCTGTCCCGGTCACCCAACCTCAAGTGGACGCATTCAAAATTTGTTGACTGCGGGATGGGGCCCCTGGTCAGAGGGATGGAATCTCTATAGACCACTGCGACCCTGCCTTCCCACCCTCCGGATCTCGGCTGGTGCTGCACGGAAAAACCTGGTGGGCAGAGCTGGGTCAAATTCACGCCTCCAGCTTCGTCCAACCAGGTCTCCATAATGCACGCCAGATCTGCCCGCTCATCCAGGATTAAATCCTGGGTGAAAGTTGTTTTTCCATTGACAGATCTGGCGTTCAACAGCACCACCTTCAATCCAGAGGGACCGCCATCCTGGTTACACCAGTTTACCATATCAGGAGACCGGTTTGAAATTACTAATGTTGTTACATGATCCCTAGGCCAAATTAATGGTCTCCTTTTCCCACATCTCCCCTTCCCCACCACCACTTCTATGGGGGCCCCTCGGCTGGCGGAACACCACCGCCCCTCCTCCATGCCGCATTCCATATCCATAACCTCAACATGTATTTCATTGTTGGTTATTTGGTTTGTAGAGATCTCAATTTGTCATGATCTTCCGTTCCATTTATCTTCCCCCCCCCCCCCCCCCGTTTTATCGTTTCCCAAGACCCCCAGCTCGCTTTGTCCCTTGCCCCTTTCACAATTAATTAACAATAAGAATAGTAAATACACGGGGATAGGGGACCACATGGGTGGTGGCTGTTAAGACACTTCACTGGAGTTTACAGTTCAAAGGTGGAATAGATAGTCGTATCCCGTGCAGGCTGAGGCAAGTTCTTAAAGTGCAAGGGTGTAGCAGATATATAACTAAAGTGCTAGTTAAAGTGCGGCATGGAGGGCTTGGTAATGGGTTAAAGTCCTAGAGTTGGATAAATTAGCAGCAAAATTGATACAGGGAAGGTATAATAAGGTGCTATGCTAGGCAGGTTCACAGACAATTCAATGCAATTGCAATGCAATGCAATTTGACACAATATTCCAGGTGCGGTGTAACCAAAGCAGAATAGAGGGGTAGCATTACTTCCCTAGATCTAGACACTATGCTCCTATTGATGCAGGCCAAAATCCTATTATCTGCTCATGTTTAACTTGTTGTCTACGAGGACTCCAAGATCTTGTTCACACGTACTGCTCTCGAGCCAGGCATTGTCCCCCATTCTGTATCTTTGCATTTTGTTGTTTCTGCCTAAGTGGAGTATCTTGCATTTGTCACTGTTGAACTTCATTTTGTTAGTTTTGGCCCATCTCTCTAATCTGTCAAGATCGTTTTGAATTCTGCTCCTGTCCTCTGGACTATTGGCTATCCCTCCCAATTTGGTGTCGTCTGCAAACTTGATGATCATGCCTTCTAGCCCTTCATCACTTCTTTCCAAGATGAAGAGGAAGCATTGGTGAGCAGCCTCTGGGTTCGTCTATTTTAACCAATTACAGATCCACCTCACCGTAGTTTTGCCTAGCCCACATTGGATTAGTTTGTTTGCCGAAAGATCATGGGGGACTTTGTCGAAGGCCTTACTGAAATCGAGGTACGCTACATCCACGGCATTCCTCACATCTACCCAGCTTGTAACTCTATCGAAAAAAGAGATCAGATTAGTCTGGCATGACTTGTTTTTGATAATTCCATGTTGACTATTAGCGATGACCGCATTTGTTTCTAAGTGTTTGCAGACCACTTCCTTAACCATCTTTTCCAGAATCTTGCCTGGTATCGACGTGAGACTGACAGGACGGTAATTCTTTGGATCATCCTTTTTTCCCTTCTTGAAGATTGGGACCACATTGGCCCTCCTCCAGTCTGCTGGAACTTCTTCCGTTCTCCACGAACTCTCTAAGATGATTGCCAATGGTTCAGAAATGACTTCTGCTAGTTCCTTCAATACTCTTGGGTGTAGTTGATCTGGCCCTGGGGACTTGAACTCATTTAGAGCGGCCAGGTATTCCTGGACGACTTGTTTCCCAATTTGAGGTTGGATGTCCTCTAATCCCTCATCCACTCCATCTTGCTGAGGTTGAAGATGACTTTCGTTTTGTGAGAAGACCAAGGCAAATAAGGCATTAAGTAGTTCTGCCTTTTCCCTACCCCCTGTCAGCATTGCCC